TATAGGAGTAATTTAGTTAGCTAGTTAGGTAACAATAGTTAGTTTTTTCACTATCTTTATTTTATTATTAATACTTCCTTTGTAAATATACCTACTCTTCAGAAATTGGAGGCAATAAAGATTTAAAACTGACTGGAAAAAGCTTCAGCCTTTTATTAATTGATCTTCAAGGATGACAATTTGAACAGCTATCCAGTATATATAAAGTCTGTAATAAATCCCCTACCTTCCAAATCGTGGTCGAGGTTGTAAGCATTGCTGCCAAAAACGCACAGGATCAGAACGAACCCCAAACGAAACATCTTTGAGCTGCTTCTATTTCTGAGCGGTGTTCTCCTTAAGTCCTAGACAACAGGTTATATAAACAGCATTGAAATCTTGCTTCTTTTATATAATTTGCTGTCAGTGGGAAGCGTTTGATACAATATTGCTGATACGCGCAAGAGTTCGTTACTTTTCGTCACAGAACGAACCATTATCTTAGTATTGATCCTATTTTGGCCAAGTGGTCCTTGAGTATAGCCAGCGACAACCGTGTGGCGGGCGACATACCTAACTTGGGCTATGTCCATTTGATTTCGAGTTGAGATCGTTATTAAAACCAACTGAAAAATCTCCATATATGAATCACGTTGTCCAAAGCTTGTGATTTTTAAGTTTCCAAAAACGTTCGTGCTATATACTATATGCCGATACTAACAGAGACACCTACTGCACGGAATTGTATTTAATGCATATTCTAAGTGTGCATATATTACAAGCAAATTATGTGTAAAACTATATAGGTAGCGCACAGAAATGATTAATAAAAAAAGCTTTTTTTTCCTTCCGAAATTAAATTCAACCAGTGCAAGGACAAAATTATGGCAGTGAGGATGTTACTTGGCGTACGGTAGAATTACCTAGTACCAAATCCTATGGTAGCTAACTAATCGATGTACTCGGGTGAATGCATTTGATTACCTTGCTATATACCGACACTTTCCGAACCAGTCTTCGTTATGCGCAGCAGGGGTGCGCACAATGTGACAAATGTGACACTGCTCCATTCACTGCTCCTTACGTTCTAATATTTGATTGGTTACTAACAAAACCGGATATACGTACCAAATACAATGGACAATGTACAATAAGATCTTCTGATTAACAGTTCCCCAAATCACATCAGATAAAGGCGTACTGCATTCAGATTGTGTCTGCAAACTTCTCGTTGTTGTATTCTTTAATTACTTTACGATCGCTTCGAATTCAAGTTGACAACATGTCAGGTATGTTTATACACTCTAAAAACACTCTGGTTAAATTCAACCAGGAATTGGGTTAATAATCCACCCAACACATTCTGGTTAAATTTAACCCATTTCCTGGTTAAAAATTATCAATTCAACAAAAATTTGGTACACTTTTTTGGACTTTTAACCAGGAAAATGGTTAATTTTTTTTAACCAGACTTGTGTAGGTGGATTTTTAACCCCGTACTGGTTGAATTAACCCAAATTTAACCAGAGTGTTTTTAGGGTGTATGTTTACAGAATATGTTTATATGTTTACAGAATATGTTTATATGTTTAAGAACAGCTAATCAAGGTTGCGTGCCTGCCAACTCACATGCGGCACTCTCATCCTCGTTTGATTCGGGATTAAGTCTCTGTCTGTCCTTGTTTAAGTGTATTCTGTAGTCATTTATATCATTTATATGTAGTCATTAAATCTTTTAATATAGCTAACTGTAAATAGATTGAATTTATTTAAAAATGTTGGAAGCGAAACCAGGATTCATGAACTCTGTATATATAGAGTTCACTGGTACTCTGGTAGTGCCAGGCAGTGCTATACAATAGCGATTTACACGTGACTCTGCACATGCTATAAATAGCGTCGACTCGGACAAACATTGCGGACAAAGTCTATAGATTGTATTACAAGTGCGTTCAACTGGCGAAAAAGTCTTGTTTTTTTTCGCGTCTTTTTATTGTTAAACACATAAAAATTGGTTGAGACTGTGTGATTGAAAGTGCCTCTAAAATTTTATAACGGGTGAACTGCAAAAACGCTTTTAAAATTAGCGACCTATAGCCGAATAATCGAATATAGCTTTTATATGAAGCTTGTTCGTGTGTTGTAACATGCTTAATGGCTTAACTTTACCCATGTAGAGATGGGTTGTTTCCTAAAGTCTCAGTAAGTAGAGATTCAACGTATCCGTCTTGAAAAAGACGGGAAAAGGTATTCCTCTAATGCTTTATACGCTGCCATATGGAAAGCCATAGCTGTCTTAAGTGATCAAACGACATTTTGTTGGGTGCTTTTAGCATTATACGCGGTGCTTGTAGCATTATACGCGGTGCATTTAGCGTTATGTTCGGTGCTTCTATCCTTATGCTCGGTGCTTTTATCGTTATACTCGGTGCTTTTAGCATTATACTCAGTGCTTTTAGCATTATACGCGGTGCTTTTAGCATTATACTCGGTGCTTTAAGTATTATACGCGGTGCTTTGAGCGTTATACTCGGTACATCTAGCATGATACGCGGTGCTTTTAACATTATACGCAGTGCTTGTAGCATTATACGCGGTGCTTTTAGCATTATGCTCAGTGCTTAGATCATTATACTCGGTGCTTTTAGCATTATACTCTGTGCTTTTGTCATTATACTCGGTGCTTTTAAAATTATACGCAGTGCTTGTAGCATTATACGCGGTGCTTTTAGCATTATGCTCAGTGCTTTTAGCATTATACGCGGTGCTGTTAGCATTATACTCGGTGCTTTTAGCATTATACGCAGTGCTTCTGTCATTATACTCTGTGCTTCTGTCATTATACTCTGTGCTTTTAGCTTTATACGCGGTGCTTTGAGCGTTATACTCGGTACATCTAGCATGATACGCGGTGCTTTTAACATTATACGCAGTGCTTGTAGCATTATACGCGGTGCTTTTAGCATTATGCTCAGTGCTTAGATCATTATACTCGGTGCTTTTAGCATTATACTCTGTGTATCTGTCATTATACTCGGTGCTTTTAGCATTATACGCGGTGCTCCTGTATTCGTATCATTATGTGGTGGTGAGCCAGTATTTATGGCCAGCGGTTTTCCTTTCTGTATTTACATGAACTGTTCATTTGGCTGTTATAGGTGGAAGACGTGGTGCAATTGCTTTGGCCCACATATTAATGTTCACCACTTGTGCTGACGAAGAACCCCCCTTAGGATTTAAAATCCAACCAAACATCACCTTCACTGAAGCAGAAGAAAGTGATAAGTTTATTCCGACGGCAAATACTTGTATTTGTTCCTTAACGTTGCCATATGGAACACAGCCAGTGCCTTTGCCTGCATCTGACCACCTATTTTCACTCTACGACTATGCATTTGTAAATGCCTATTTTGGAAATATTTGAAAACTTGATTGAATATGTTTCATAGCAGCCTCAACCTTGTATGCAAATTACTCATGTAAATATGCTTTTGTGCTTTAATTAATATGTGGTAATGGAAGGATACTGAAGTATAAGAATCCTTGTGATAATTAGAATGACAAAGAAAACAAAACACTATAATAACATGTCCCGCAAAAGGGTACATATACTAAATAAAGATGGACATGGGTTAATTGCACATGAACTTTATTAACAGACAAGATGAGTTTTACCTTATATAGTATTAACATGGCAAAGTGTTAAGTGTTTCGTTCCAGGGTTTCTGAATAGAATTAACCAAACACATCACATTACATTTAGCAAAAAAATCATCAAGTCCCTGAAGATCATGTCATTAGGCATGTGGTCTGCTCAAATGCATTGTGCTAAATTTGGTTAATTTCATCCAGATCCTAAGTATTCTTACTATTTTATGGTTCTTTTTTAGTACCTGCTAGACAAAGATTTGTCTTATTCATCTACTGTAACAACAGCTGTTACAGAAGAAATTAAATTTGTTTATTTTCATCTTCCCCTTGAGAAATACAATCATCTAATGTGCCTTGCAGCATAAGGAGTTCTACAGCAGGATGGGAATATGGGATAGTATAATGTGTTCATCTCTGCTGTTATTAATTGAAATGATCTCTAATAATGTTAAGTGCTTTGAGGTAATCATTTATTCCATGGTTTGATTGGGTCCATGTTTCTGAACCAAGCTCATTTTGGCATGCTTTAGGTAATGAGGGTATCAATGGAAGAATAATTGGACGTTCTCCCTGTGATTGCTCCTGACTTCCATCATCAGAGCTATCATCATGATCAAGAACAGGATCAGGAATAGCATCAATCCCAACAGGATTATTAATTTGTCCACTAAGCCAAAGCTGTGCAGGTGTTGCACGGGCTGTCCGTATTCGATGGTGTGCCCAAGCTGATTGCCACATATTCAACTTTGCATTAACAAGTGGCACAAATACATAGTGAAGGGCAGCCAGATTTGATTCATCCAAAGGATCAAGTATACTCTCTTCTTCCATAAAATAAAAGAGCTGATAAAAAAAGCTCAGGGCACCTTCATAAATATCTCGCCACAGCCGCTCAATCCTTTGGTTGTGTGTGCTCTTCCCAGCAATTATACTACCACGGTTTGTACCTCTATTCTCAATCATATACTGAGCAATACCAACATTTTCTAGACCTTTGTCAGTCCGTACTCTACTAGGCAGTCCATACCTCCTAACAGCATCCACAAAACATGTCAAGATTGTATCTGCCTTGTTATTATCGGAGCATTTCAACATGACAGGAAGACGGCTGAAACCATCTATACCTCCGATAATAACAAGGTTCCAACGGATTAATTTATGATTTGTGTCAACATGCCAGAGGTGGTTGGGACCTTGAACGTGATATACTCTTCTGTGCAATCTTCCTCTCTTCCTTTCGGCTTTGCCTTCACCATCAACCCTATGCAAACTCTCGCGCAATCGCCATCGTTGTACCTTGACACATTTCCCCAAAAGTATTTGTTTTATAAGACCCTCGCCACAATGAGGAAATTCTTCCGTAATGTTCTTAATTTGGAAATCTAATTCTTGGTCTGTAATGATCGAAAATTCCATTTTACTTAGACCGTATTGGCGCATCCTCCTATAAATTGTGCTTTCCGAAACGGAAATAATTTTTGAAATTTCTTTTATCGTAAAGTCTTGCTCGAGATAACATTCCAGAATTGACTTAGGGATATCAAATTGAGGTGCGCCGCATTCAAGTCCGTTTCGATTTCTACGCGGTGTCTCAGATCCATGTTTAATACATTCCAACCGTAACGCCATAATGTCACTACGACATTGCATTCCCAATTCTTTAAAGTCAGACAAAGATAATTTCCCAATTATATCCGGCGTTATTTTCTCCATATCGAATATTTCCATATGATTATGAAGGTGCAGTTTTCGCAAAATAGATGCCATGTCCGACGCCATGTTTGTTAAGTACTTCATATCCCTTGCACCATGAAGTACCGTCCTGTTCTTCATAGAAACCCGCTGGCCAGAAATACTGGCTCACCACCACATAATGATACGAATACAGAAGCACCGCGTATAATGACAGAAGCACCTCGTATAATGCTAAAAGCACCGCGTATAATGCTAAAAGCACCGAGTATAATGCTAAAAGCACCAAGTATAATGACAGAAGCACCGCGTATAATGCTAAAAGCACTGAGTATAATGCTAAAAGCACCGACTATAACGATAAAAGCACCAAATATAAGGATAGAAGCACCGAGCATATCGATAAAAGCGCCGCGTATAATGCTACAAGCACTGCGTATAATGTTAAAAGCACCAAGTATAATGCTAAAAGCACCGAGTATAATGCTAAAAGCACTGAGCATAATGCTAAAAGCACCGCGTATAATGCTACAAGCACTGCGTATAATGTTAAAAGCACCGAGTATAATGACAGAAGCACAGAGTATAATGCTAAAAGCACCGAGTATAATGCTAACAGCACCGCGTATAATGCTAAAAGCACTGAGCATAATGCTAAAAGCACCGCGTATAATGCTACAAGCACTGCGTATAATGTTAAAAGCAACGAGTATAATGACAGAAGCACAGAGTATAATGCTAAAAGCACCGAGTATAATGCTAAAAGCACCGAGTATAATGACAGAAGCACCGCGTATAATGCTAGAAGCACCGAGTATAATGATCTAAGCACCGCGCGCGTTAAATGCGCCGCGTATCATGCTAGATGCACCGAGTATAACGCTCAAAGCACCGCGTATAATACTTAAAGCGCCGAGCATAATGCTAAAAGCACCGCGTATAATGCTAAAAGCACTGAGTATAATGCTAAAAGCACCGAGTATAACGATAAAAGCACCGAGCATAAGGATAGAAGCACCGAACATAACGCTAAATGCACCGCGTATAATGCTACAAGCACCGCGTATAATGCTAAAAGCACCCAACAAAATGTCGTTTGATCACTTAAGACAGCTATGGCTTTCCATACTGCCAAACCTTGTTTATCATGCTCAGTTGAATCATGGCATGACTATAACGCGCCAATCAGCAACGCGCTAGCCTGTCGAGCGATAAACACACAAAGAGCAAAGAAAGAAGCAGGAATCTACCGAATATACCTATTTACTCACCAAATCTTTCAAAGTATTCACTCAAATATTTACAAGAATGTGAGGTAAGTTATATTTTTATATATTTCTGCTAAAATATCTTAGAAAATCGGTATTATATGAACTAGGGGATACTTGAAAGTATAAGATGTACAAAATGACGCTATTCACAAGGGTTTTTGGTACGTCTTCGTTCTAATGCAATTTACAGAAATTCCTTTCGCTTTCGTAAGGATTTTTTCGAACAGATATACTAACAGAAGTATTTTGATCACGATTTTGCCGTCCTACCCCATCCTGCCTCTTCTAGTTTTTTTCAATATTGGTCATTAAAGAATCCCAAGTTTCAACGAGTTGTTAAAAATGCAGTGAACCTACATCATTGCTTCTTTGTGCTTAGGTAAACTCTCTCTTCTGGTTAAATAAACTGTAAAAGTGCCGACCAAATTAATAATGATTACAATGTAAGTGGTGTAATTCATTTTACTGAATAGTGTGAATACAGGCCAAAAACTGAAGTGATAATGTCAAACAAGAGAGGTCATTATCCTCGAACAGGAAACACGCCTGGAAAGCCAAAGGAAAAAAACTAGAGAGATATTGAAGGGCGACATATTTCCTCAAAGAAATCTTTGTTTGCACAAAATACTATGAGTATTGCCTGTTGCATTTTGGTTGTAAATCATTTACATTAACGTATAAATGTATTGAGTATTGACATACACTATGAAGTTACAAATATTACATGTATGAATTGAAATTTTTTATAATATCAATTTATATGAATTCAAGTAATATATAATCTGTCTAATGCCAGACTATTTTATTTGTCAGTGGTAAAATACTGCCAGTAAATTGGTTACCCATTAACCACCAGTACTCTACCACTGATGAGTAAAATCGTCTGGCGTTAGACGGAGTAAATGCTAAAGTAGGTCGCTTTTGGGCGGATTGCCTGCTAATGGGTTAATGTATTTTATTCTTGTAGAAAGAAAAAAACAAGACTGGAATAAGGATAAACTGAAGGGTTTTTACTCCTGCTATGTAAATTTCAAAGCATTATCATTATTCATTTCTTTAGAAACTCGCTGTTTTTACAGTCTATGAACACAGAAATATTTGCATAGCAGGAGCAAATAGTCAGGCTGGCTACGTACGCCACTGACAGGTAGCATGATGTGCTCCGGTTAAATGTCCCTGCTCCTTTAAAATATCCAGACTATGCTTAGCATGTAAAATAAAACTATCAAAAACAATCAAACAAAGTTTTATTGAAAACAGTGAAAAGCGCTACTCAATCAGCCAAACTATGATGAGTTGTTGGCGTTTTAACATTGTTTGAGAACAAGATCAGCCAAGAGGATATACAGCCAGCATATTGTCCAGATAGATTGTAAGAATTCTGCCCAGCTAGGACCATGTGAATGCCGGGTCCACATTTATAACTTTTGAAACCATGTTGGTTGAGGGACTGGTCCAAAAATGCTTTTTTCTAAGCAATGACAAGTCAAAGTATATTACAGTATGAATTACATGACCTTTCTAACAAATTACACTACTTTCTTACAAGTTTTATTCTTTCTTAAATTTAGGAGGTGCATGTAGATTGAAAGTAATTGACCACCTTAAAAAGAAATTCAAGTCCGTCAATGATGCTGAAAAGGCATATGACATTGATTATGTTAAAATGAGATGGAAAAGGCCAGAAATAATTCTGCTGTGTTTGAACATGAAGACATTAACAATTATTTAAACTAATTCAAATTCAAAAATTCCTCAAAATAATTGAACCTTATACTGTAAATAGGGAAAATGTATCCTGGAGTTGGGTGTGGAAAAAAAGAATTTTACCAGAATTTTAGTTTACAGTAATGAAAATTTACTTTTCTCATTAAATTTTTTTCATTTATATTTTTTTCATTAATTAACCCATTAAGCTGCAGAGCTCCCCCTTGACTGACGAGTAAAATCGTCTGGCATTAGAAAAGTAAAACAAATAAGTAGGGTGCATTGTGGCTCAATGGGTTAACTAGAGACATTGTCAGTGCCTCCCCTTGCGAGTAAAATCGTCAGGCGTTAGACAAGGAAAAAAAGGGCGCATTGCGGCTCAATGGGTTAATATTGGCTTCGGTGGCCAAGTGGTTAGCGCACTTGCCTTTCACCTCTGAGGCTGCAGGTTCGAGTCTCACTAAGTACCTTCTCAGTGCGACTCGAACCCAGTCCTCATGTGAAAAGAGTAAAAGTCAACGCTCTGCCGAAAGCCGTGGGTTTTCCCCGGGTACTCCGGTTTCCTCCTACAGGGAAAGTTGACAGGGTGGGTTAGGTAAAAAGGGCCCACAGTAATTGGCATATGCTGTTGTGGTGACCCTGCCCTAGTTGGCAAAGCTAAATAAATAAATAAAATAAAATAAAATATAATAGGGAAAGCAATAAAATTGCTATTCGGTGAACAAATAGTTCCTTTAAAATTTGGTGACGCGATATAATTCCGCACTCACCTGTATTCCTTGCTGTGTCCTACCCGTTGGGTAGACTTAAGCTCCCCTCTATTTTCGCATGCGACGGAATTCACAGCACATACTGTATACAGTACATATGTTTGAAATTTTTGGATGTATAGTGCATTTCAATACATGTGACTATAATTGGAATTAAATGGAATTAAATGCTGAATTTCGAAATTATAAGAAAATAGTATTTAAGAAAAAAAGTTAACGTGCGCGCAATAAGACTAAAGAAGTTCAAACAAACACCTGTTATAACACATTCTTAAATTATGCAATTTCGCGTTTATTTGCATTATTATTTTAATTATTAAAACAAAAATGAAACGCGATTCTATTTTACATTTAAAACATAAGTAACTTAACAAATTGTTGTTACGAGTGTGATACATGCTGGTGAAGGCCGTGGTTCGTGCGTGTGAAGGCTGCCATTCGTGCGTTTAAATGCCGTGCTTCATGCGGTTAATTTGTGACACTTAAGTACTTTTACCATGTTTAGAGAATAATGTCTCGTTTCTAGTGTGTCAGTTGGCCAAAACTGAAGACTACATGATAAAAAAACTATTCATCCTAATTGTAAACAGCCATAGTTAATTAATATCCATTGTTGGTTTAATTTTATCTTTTATTCCTCTTATGATGCAGCAGCAAATACTTCGACTTCGATGATGACTAAAACTTTAGAAGAGAATGATTGAATGACAAGATAACTTCCAGTCAACGGTGGTGAACAGGAAATTTCCTTCTTTTCTGCATGTGGTACTGAATGTCGATCTCCACATTTTGTGTTATTTCGCCCTTCGTTCGCCAAACTGTTTCCAATCTTGATTTCAAAATCCAGCAAGCCATTCGCATCAGAATAATTTTTTCTGTTTGTAATGACAACACGAGCTACGGGTATTACAATCTGGAACACATTTGAACAAAAAGTAAATATTTAGTTATTAAATTTGTGGAGTTGCTCAGGGGCGGAGTCAGACAGGTTTGGCAGGTTTAATTAAACCTGTCAAATTTTCCAAAGAGAGAAAATCATAACCTTCCATGTACTGCAGTATATGACTAATTTAAAGAATATTCTGTTTCATAAAATTATATCGTATCATTTTAGTAAACCCGGTATTGATCTTTTTGCTAGCAGGATCAATCACCAACTTGATATTTACGTTTCATGGAAACCAGACCCAGGGGCGTCATTTGTTGATGCATTCACCATTAACTGGGCACTGTTTGATAACAGTTTTGCTTTTCCGCCATTTTGCTTGATTACTAGATGCCTTCAGAAAGTCGTTCAAGAGCAAGCAACCATGATTATTGTTGTACCAATGTGGACCACACAGGTATGGTTTACTCGTCTTCTAAGTTTGCTGATAGACCACCCCAAAGTTTTCAAGGTAACCAAGGATGTTCTATCCAATCCTCTACTGGGCAATATTCACCCTTTGAGCCACAAATTAGTGTTAATGGCATGCAAAATATCCGGCATAACCTCCTTAACCTCAAGGTTTCTCCAGAAGTTGCCGACATCATTATGTGTTCCTGGAAATCCGGCACTCAGAAACAATATACAGTTTACCTTACAAAGTGGACCGAGTTTTGTATTTCAAGGAAAATTGATTCAATGCGACCTACTGCGAATAATGTTCTAAATTTTCTTCATACCTTGTATGCACAAGAATTGTCTTATTCAACTATTAATACTGCTCGTTCAGCTTTATCTGGTTATTTAATGGATACCACTTTTAGCGGTACAAATTATACTATGACGAATCATCCTTTGCTGGTTCGTTACATGAAAGGTGTTTTCAACTCGAGGCAACCAACACCCAAGTACTCTGAAACATGGGACGTAAATGTCGTGCTAAATTATTTGGCAACGTTGTTCCCGCTGGATAAGCTGTCGTTAAAGGATCACTCCTTTAAACTAGTTATGCTGTTAGCCCTAACATCGGGTCAACGGTGCCAAACGTTGACATACTTAGATATTCAGTCGATGAAAGAGACGCCAGATTCTTATGTTTTCCAGCTTACTGAACATATAAAACAGAACAGACCGGGAAATGTATTCTCTACTTTTCATGTTAGCAAATATCACCAGGAGGAGTTATGTGTCTATCGCACCTTGAAGTGCTATTTGTACCGCACAGCGACATTGCGGAGCAGCACATCCACTAGACTGCTTATTTCATATGTAAAGCCTCATGGTGCAGTTACTACCAATACGCTAAGCAGATGGATCAAACAATTACTTACTTTAAGTGGAATCGATACTTCGATATTTAAGGCCCACAGTACTCGGGCAGCGAGTGTCAGCAAAGTTGCTACCTTTCTACCAGTTGATGTGATACTAAAACATGTGGGATGGTCATCAGACTCTGTGTTTCGGAAACATTATAATAAACCTATTGTAGATAATAATCTGTTTCAAAATGCCGTGTTACAATAAATGTTTTTGCATAACATGTTTGTGCTGTTGGTTGTGTACACAATTGCTTTGAAGTCTCATGTTAACCGGAAGTACGTAACTACGGTTTGGTAGAATTGGAAATTAAACGAGCCTTACCTGGAAGGTGATGTTTGATGATAATTCTACCAAGTCCGTAGTTGTACTGAGGGTTAACATGCCCTTCCCTACTTTCCCCGCCCGTGGTTCTAACAAACATCTTTTAATTGCGTCCACAACCGTTTTAAAGTCTGACTCATGGCAACACACAGCGTGCATCTCATGTTAACCCTCAGTACAACTACGGACTTGGTAGAATTATCATCAAACATCACCTTCCAGGTAAGGCTCGTTTAATTTCCAATTATCTGCTAATGTATCCTCGTGGGTCGTGGACTTGTAAACATCGCATGAATCACACATAACCACCCGCAATTATGAGTAAACGGGTGGTCAGAGTTTTTTCCGTGAGAGTAAACCGGTCAATACGCCATTCGCTTGGCTAAACGGCAGCGCTCCGCCGAAGGTAAACCCGTCATAAACCTGTGAGTCGAGCAGTATTTAGAAAAAACTGGGAATGAAAGATAACAGAACTGGTGGACGCGCGAAATATGTTTATAATTTTGCGTGACTGAATCATTGCGTTGGCGATACAAGCATTTACATGGTTTGTTTAAAAGTATGTAGTCTAAAGTTATAACTGTAAGCTATTTCTACTTACTGTATGGTAAATATCGATCCGTCAACATGCGTATCGATGTTTATACATGTAACTACACAGTCTATACTTATCATAGCGCAAAATATGTGTATAATCTTGCGTGACCGAATCATGCGCTTACGTACGAGGAGATTCAGAAAATGAAGAAGCTTTCATACCCTTGCAATTTGGTTTCTAGTTCATTGTTAAAGTTGGTTTGAAAGCGTATACTGTAAATCTAAAATTACAACATGTTTATATTAATAAAAGCATCTCTACTTGTTGTACTTATAGGACTTATAGTAAATATGGATATGTCAGCAAAAAGTGACGCCAGAACGCAGGAAATGCTGTTTCAGAGGCTCAAATTTTAAAAATTTCCGGACTCCCCTACTGGTTGTGTGAACCTAGGAAACCGTCACCCAAAACGCTGGATCCGCCCTTGCTTCTCAACATATGATATATATCTGGGGAATTTCTTCCTGCCCATACTCAAATGGGTGTGGAGGAGGGTGGACGTAGAGAAAAGAAGCTGAACCAAGGGGTGTAGTGCCACATTTGCCAACAACATTTCAGCTGCTACATTTTTCTAAAGGAAGGGTCGCACCGGCCATCCCCCTTTAGCTAAAGCCCTGCTCAATGTTTAGATTGTATAATGACAACCTGGGAAGTTATTGATAGTCCGAAATTGATTATGGCATTCGATAATTTTTGCTGCTTCAAAATGAAAGCGATTCGGAATATATTGGGCGATTCGATATATTTACATATTTATGCTCCATTAATATTGGCTCGTTTTGTTTATGTAGTTCTAGATTTTAAACCATTGATTGCGCGTTATTACAATTCAAATATATATATATATATATATATATAATTTTTGACATAAAGTACAAAACAAACGTTGTTACTCAGAGTTTCATGCCTGCATGAGTTTACAGACAATCTTCGGACAACTAAAATTGTTACCAACAGAAGCGATTCATCGACGATTATTTTGCCTTCTTGATGTCACACGAGATGTCCGGAGAGAGATTGTTGACAAATAGCTAATGAACTTAACAATGCCATTGAGTTTACTCTATAGAGATGCTTAATAACAAACAACTGCCATTCCTAGACACATTGGTATCTTACAATCCCGCAGCTAAATCTTTCTCAGCTACACTTTATGTCAAACCCATTCACAGCAAATGCAAGTTGTAAAGAATCTCTTAATAAGGTCTTCACATTGTTCGTGAACAATGGATATCCTAGAAGATTTGTTAGGGCCATAATAAGACACACAACACGCAATAAGCCACGTATGGATGACAAACGAGAAAGTATCAATTTGAAACTTCCCTACACTAATGAAGAACTTAAACGTCGTGCTCTTTCAGTGATACGTAGATCAGGAATCAACAATGTCAAAATTCATTTTATGAACGGCAGACCTTCATCACGAGTATTTGCCCCACCAATAGATAGAGCGAGAGGCCGGGAAGATTGCAAAACATGTAAATCAGCAATTAAACCTAAACAGTGCCTGACAACTGAGAACGTTATTTATGAAATCACATGTTCAAATTTCGGAATAGTATATGTTGGCAAAACCGGTAGAACAATTGGATTGCGAATCAAGAAACGCTTAAAGATGGATAAACAAACTGTGTACAAACATATAGAATCTGATAAGAGTGGACGACCAGATCAATTTGACATAATTTGGAAAATATTGCATAGAAATATAACATACCAAAATGAAAGCAAATGCATTGAAGCGTTTGAAATTCATAATCGTAGCGAAAATATTATAAACGGTTGCATAGGTAGAACAATTAGTATTTAATTATTTTTTTCTGTGCTGGTGTTGTGTACTCAGGTGAATAATATGTTTATGATGTTACTCTGAGTGCATATCCACACCGGGCGAGCTTGAAAAATATGCCCGGCCACGGTGGGATTCGAACCTACGACCTTTGGAATACTAGCCCAATGCTCTTCCAACTGAGCTATGCGGTCAGGACGGTTCGAGTAAGTGATATTTCGGAACAGTATCTAGTTCCTTCAATCCCACCGTCGCCGGGCACACTTTTGGTATTGAAGGAACTAGATACTGTTCCGAAATATCACTTACTCGAACCGTCCTGACCGCGTAGCTCAGTTGGAAGAGCATTGGGCTAGTATTCCAAAGGTCGTAGGTTTGAATCCCACCGTGGCCGGGCATATTTTTCAAGCTCGCCCGGTGTGGATATGCACTCAGAGTAACATCACAAACATAGTATTTAATTAATTAAACACTGCTTGACCTGACTTGTTTTTTTTTTTAATTTGTGTTAATCTACGTATAGCTAATTGACATTTCAATAGATTTTATAATTTTTATTTTATTCATGAATTTTTAAATAGACTAGCTTGTATATATATAGTCCAGCGGATATGCACAGATGTCTGAGAAAATCATGCACTTTGTGAAGAAAGCACCAAATTTACAGGAAGTGTAGACTTTAACATGATAATAAATCTTAGATATGGAGGCATCACCAAAATTGATGCTGACAGCTGAAAATTTAGGATTTTTTATATTCTCTTTTTAATCTCTTATACAATTAAAAATTGTGAAATTGCAGGTTCACATTTATTTTACAATACGTGTTTAAGCTCTACTATGTTTTCGTTTTAGCGTAAAAAATACAGCTTAAACAAACAAAAATGGCCGAATACATGCGAGCATTTAAAAAAAAAATATTGTTTTCTCGAAGTAAGTTCTATATAGGCTACATGT